CCGAGATATCTCACTGGCCCCCCCTCGAGTGCATCTTGCCATTCCGGTCTGGCTCGGTTTAGTGAGGCAGCCAAGGCCAGCGGACAGGACTTGTCCCAAATGAAATTGGAAATGGCCGTGGACAGAGGGTCGCCGTCGAGACCGTCAACGTCAGAGGTTGGCAGCCCTCGGCCAAAGAGTGACTTGCGCCCACCACTGTACTCAATCTTGATCATCTGCGCGCAGCACCACAGCCGCGAAGCAACGACGCAACACATTGAAATGACGCTACCCAAGGACGTTCCTCATCGGATTACGGCCATTGCTTCCATCGAAGACGCGGAGCCTTTCCTTGGCGGCGAAGATGCCATGCGATTTACTCACATCGTTCTCAACTTGGCGTCTGCCGAAGCCATCATTGATGTCATGGATCGAATTACCAAGTCGCAGAAAATCGAGGGAACCACCATTGTGATTCTCTGTGACTCTGTACAACGACAGGCCGTTCAGAAGCTAGCTGCCGATACGAAGCACGAGCGTTTCTTGTCAGAGAATCTCGTTACCTTTATATACAAGCCTGTCAAGCCGTCGCGATTCGCAGTCATTTTCGACCCGGAAAAAGTACGAGATCTCAGCACGGACAGAAACCGATCTACGGCGCAACAGATGGTTGAGAATCAAAAGGCCAGTTACCAAGAGATTGAGAAGCGCATGGGCAACAAGGGGTACAGAGTGCTGCTTGTGGAGGACAATCCTGTGAATCAGAAGGTGTTGAACAAGTATTTGAAGAAGATTGGAGTCGAGGTCGAGGTTGCTGTTGACGGCGTCGAGTGCACGGAAATTGTCTTGTCCAAGCCTCATAGCTACTACTCCCTGATTCTGGTAAGTTACTGCAGGGCGAAACAAAATGTGCCGAGTCGAAAGCTAACGTATTATGCAAGTGTGACCTCCATATGCCGCGGAAAGACGGCTACCAGGCATGCCGTGAAATACGAGAATGGGAGAAGCTGTCGAGTTTGCCCAAGCTGCCAATTATTGCACTGTCAGCTAATGTCATGTCTGATGTGCAAGAAAAATGTGTTGCGGCGGGTTTCAGCGACTACGTGACAAAACCCGTCGACTTTATCGATTTAAGCAGGGCCATGGCCAAGTTCTTTTGAGACGGCAGGAGCAGCCCATGAGTCAGCAGCGAGTTGCCCCTTGTTCATTCTACTTCACCTCACATATTCTTTGTTCTCTTTTTCTTCTTCAACACTGTATTCTTCCTTCCGTCTTAAGAGTAGCGAGGGGATAATCTTCCCGGTGCCGCTGGTATATAAGACAGCATGAAACGCGCCGTGGCCTTTTTTTTTCTTTTTTTCTCTTTTTTTTCTTTTTTTTCTATGCCTTCTATTAGGAGACAATGCGAAGCGAGCGATAGCGGCCGCGATCACCTGCTGATACACGAAAGTCTGGTTTCACGTGGTGCAAAAGCACACTTTACGATGTTTTGTCCATTTTCTAGCATGACGCATCACTGTATGGGATCGGTCTGGCTTATACAAGGGGGAGTGTTTAATATCCCCCCCACGTGGGTGTTTGTTGAGAGGAAAAAGACGTGCGTACCTGTTAATGAAGGATGCAAGTGTTTGGTGGACTTGCTTGTTGACGGATATTTGTGTTTACTGGGTCTGGGTTGATTCGGGTTCTTTTTCATTCCATGTGTTATTACAACGTGCGCATGGCCTCTGCAAAAGGGTATGGAAGGCGCAAGGTAAATTCTTGTCATGTATTGGAATTGTGTAGAAAGACGTCGTCGGGTAGACGGCGCAGAAAGAATTGATTTCTTGTGGGATTAGATTGTTGGTGTCGAGGTGAACATGGTCGATGTGCCAAGCTAAAAGTTTGTCTGGACACATGGAGCCTTGGTTTGCCGGGCACATACCCCGTACATAGATAGGCTTTGGATGGTTCACTCGGGTCTCAGAGGCGGTGTTCTGTTGGAGTTGTGGCACTCGATCGTATCTGGGGTCAACTTTTTCTAATCATTTCTCACTTGGGGAGTCTGTCTTGAGAACTAGTTCCATCCTACTCAGCAATCAGTCGGTCACGCCATGTATTCAATCTATGAAGCCCAATGTGTATACGCTCCGTTTTCCCGCCCAACGCCAGCAATGCTATGCCCAGAAAAGCGAATGAAAAAGAAGAGAAAAGAAAAATGTACAGCGAAATCTAGTACACGCTCCCACGAATGCTCCTGTCCTCCTTCTCAGCGGCATCCAGGTCCTCCATGTCGGAGCCCGCCGCGGGCGGTGCGTCTCCCAGCCGATTGGCATGCGCGCCCATGCAATGAGAGGTATCGCCGTTGCTCCTTGGAGCTTGTTCCTCGCCATTGTGGCTCGTCTTTCGGCGACGGCAGCGGCGACCCAGGTCGGACGACACGTCTGAGTCGGAGCCGGCGAGGGATGCGTGGCCCGAGTAGGTGCCGCCAAAGTCGCGGCCGAGGTGTAAAGGGGGGGACTTGAGGCTGCGCAGACGGTCCTCGGCCGTGATGTAGGACGGCGTGCCGTCTGGCGAAGACATGATTTCGTCCAGGCTGCGTGTCTTCTCGAGCGGCGCGTCGCCCAGGACGTGCTGGTCGCTGTACTCGTCGTCGCCGTCGCCCATGCTCACGGTGGATTTGTGCCGGTGGCGACGGGCGGATATCATACCTCCGTTGGCGGCGGCGGAGGCGGCGGAGGCGTGACCGCTGAGCTCGTTGTCCTTCTGGCGCAGGGCCTCGAGGTCGTGACGCCTCTTATAGTGGTCAGTGTGGTTGCAACCATTGGGACAGCCGCCCCATTTCCGGGTCACAACAAAGGTGCGTGTGCGGTCGAGCTTGGAGGTGTCGTCCTTTTCCTTTTCCTTGATACTGCTGCTGCTGCTGCTGTTGGCGAGGGCTCGTTCTCGGCGGAGTTCAGACCACGTGCGGAGCTTGGTTTCGAGGAGGAATTTGCCGTTTTCTTGCTTGCGCATGATGAGGAACTCGCAATGGTCAACGTTGCGGAGGTCTTCAAAGTATTCGACTGTGAAGTGGTACCATTTCATGAGAAAGACGCGCGACATGAGGCCGTGAGTGACTAGATGCGGAGAAAACAAAGACGGAGGAGGTTAGACTTGGTTCATGATGAGGCAGAAAAGAAGGTGAGAGTGGTAATCACCTAAGATACAGACGCTAGCAAAGTCGTCGTCGCCGAATTGGCGCCATAGACTCTCGTTGAAGCCGCTCACGCGGTCGTAGGCGTCGGCGGCGCTCTCGCCGTTGGGGATGCGGTAGAAGAAGTGTCCGTAGTCTGCGCGCTCCTGCCACATGCGCTCCATCTCGGCGCTGCATGGCTGGAAGTTGCCAAAGTCTTGCTCGCGCAGCCTAGGCTCCTCGTAGACCTTGATGTTAGACAGGCGGAACGGCGAGGGCTCCGGGTCGTCAGACGTCAAGGTGGCGAGGAGGCCCTCTGTGGTTTCGCGCGTGCGTCGGTAAGGCGATGTGAATACCTGGAGGGTGTCGTCTGGGCGGAGGAGGTTGCGCAAGCGGCGGCCGGCCTCGTGGGCTTGGGACCAGCCTTCGGGCGTGAGCTTTACCCGGTGGTCTGGGACGGTTTGGTGGATCTCGCGGTTTTCTGAGGAAGAGGAGAGAGAGCATTTAGCAATTTTGCAAGTCAAGACGGTTAGAAGAGGCTGGATGCGGTTGGCAAAGAGACGTACTGTTTCCTTCCGACTGGCCATGTCGAATGAGTATAATTAATCTCGGCTTTGCCATGGTTTTGCAGGTAGGGGGTATGTGTAGTTTGCAGAGGACAAGGTTGGGTTGGGCCGTTGACGTCCGGGATACAATCTTTCACGACGTTGAGGTGTTGGAATTGCCGGCGGGACGGTTTGGAACAGGCTGCAGGAAGTCGAGTCGCAAATAACGAGGTGCGGGTATATTAGATGTAATGAATGAGGGCACTCTTGGACAAGCAGGCCATTCGAAGCTCTCGGTAGAGGTTGTCGAAAAGCAAAGAGGTATGTGTATGATGGTGATCGTATGTTGGAGCATGTGGATTATAAATGGTGACTCCAGACTGGAGTTGACGTACCTACTCAAGTACCCCGATACCTCTCCTCAGCGACGGCAACAGGCGCCTGACATGTACTGACTACATACTTGTTTACCTTAAACCCAAGGGCCTGTCGCACGTGGGGCATCCCGGGACCCCAACATGCTGGCGCGAGTAAGTATGAAACCATTTGCAACCGCTGCCTAATAAATCCTTCTCGCGTGACTTGTGCGTTGTCTTGTCTGTCGTTGGTGGTGCAGCCGCCGCGGCCAGATTATTTTACTTCTTCCCGTCCCGCTCATGCATAAGATGATTCGATATCGGCCTGGATTTGGGGGCCACAGGACTGTACCTCGACTACTTAACGTATTAAAGTGGTTGCGCGCACCGTCTCGGGGAAAAGCATGTGGGGCTCCGTCTTCTTGACGTCCGGTCAACCTCAAACATCCACACACCACCCGAGTAAACCTTTTCGCAATCCTTTTCTCAGCCTTGTCAGAAATCATCAGTCCGCAACTTTAAACTTTGCTGTTGCCAAGAGCCGCCTATAGACTCGGGCCCCTTTCGCACAGCTCGCTTCCCCTATCTTTCATTTATTTGTGTTCCTCCGTGTTTCACTCCGTTGTTCGGCCCCCCCGAGCGCTGGGGCATCTCCCGTCTTTGACACTCTCGTTTTCAACACTCCTGCTTCTCACCAGCCATCACCACAGCCGTCTGCCATCGCGTCACATCGTACTGCATCGCGCCGCATCGCCTCAAACAAGGACATACGAGCCCGCGCTCGCATCGCCTGACCCCGCTCGGGGCCTTCCTACTCCCCGTCCCGCCCATCACCAACAAAAACCACAACTCCGGGAAAACCACCACCCTCTCGGGGAGCCGAGTCAAGCCCTCCCCCCCTCAATCAAGTCGACGCAAACAAATAATCTCCGCCAAACACCCTCACAACCCCGGACGCGTCCCAAAATGTCCGCCCCAGGCCCCGAGTCAATCCCAACATCGGCAGACCCGCGCTCCCGCCGGGCCACCAAGAAGCGCGTCCTGTCGCCCACGTCCTCCCAGGCCGCCTCGCTAACAGCCCTCTTCGCCAAGCCCGACCAAAACATTCCCCTCCCGTCGTCCGCCGCGGTCAAGAGGGCCCCGCACATCCCCGAGATTTACACCAACGTCCAGGGGTCCTCGGCGGGCGCTGGATCCGGCGAGTTCCACGTGTACAAGGCCTCGAGGCGCCGCGAATACCAGCGTCTGAGGGAGATGGACGAGACCCTGAAGCGGGAGAAGGACCAGGACGACTTTGAAAAGAGCCGCGCCGAGAGACTCCAACGAGATGAAGAGAAAACCAGGAAGAACAGGGAGCGGAGGGAGAAGATGAAGGCGCGGAAGGCGAACAAGGGAAAGAAGACGGGAGGCACCAGCGTTGGCGGTGGTGAGGGAGCCGAAGACGCTGCACAGGGCCCGAGTAGGCACGGAGGGGATCCAGGCGTGCAGGAGGACAAGGGTGAACAAGATAAAACGGCCGGGGGGACGGCGTCTTCAGCGCCTGTTGGTCTTGTCATCCATGATGATGACTGACTGCATTTGATAGTTCACAGTACATATGGCATGGCATTGATTTTGATACCCTTGTATATATACGCAATGCATAGCAAACCATATCAATTCATTGATGAAGAGTATGAAGCAGTTTACTTGCAGTATGATACTGCATCACATGTTGCACTCATCTTGCTCGTAATCTTTTTTGTTTGTTTGTAACAAAAAGAAAACCGTCTACCCAGCTGAGGGAGTTGTCTCCTCTCGAGCTACCCGTGCACCTTGAATTTTTGTAGTAGTCTATGGCGAATTAACCCTCCAAAACCCACACTTGCTCCTCTGGCGGCGAGAGTATAGGGGTATTCTTGTTGCAAACCATACATGCTTTACTCCCTTTCTTTCCCTACCGTTGTATCCATTCCGTTTGGTGATAAAATCGTCCATCCCCTTGTCTCATCGCTCACTCTCTAACGTCTGGCTTAGTCGTCACCTCCACCAACACCAGGAGCGCCGCCCATTTGTGCCTTCTTGGCGCTGCAAATATCGTCTACTCTGAGCAACAAGCATGCGGCCTGCCAACAGTTAGCTGTGATGAATCCTCTCTCGGCTTCCAATTTATAGGCGGCTTACCTCAATAGCCGTCTTCAGACTCTGCAACTTAATAGCCTCGGGCTCCCATACGCCGTACTCTTTCATGTCCACAATGGTACCCGTGTCGCCGTTGACACCCCACGAGCTCTTTCCCTCGGCCTGCTTGGCACGTAGGTCGGTCAAGACACGCACTGGGCTTTTACCGGCATTCTGGACCAGAGTGCGGGGAATCACCTCGAGAGCATCCGCAACAGCCTTGTATGGCCACTGCTGGACACCCTCGATGCCCTTGGCGAGCTGTGCCAGTCTAACTGAGACAGCCATTTCGGTGGCACCGCCGCCAGGGGACAGGCGAGGGTGGAACATGACGTTGCGGGCAACGCCCATGGCATCCTGCAGATTGCGCTCAATCTCGTTGAGGACGTCCTTTGACGGACCGCGTAGGAGGATGGTGCAGGCCTTGGGGTCCTGGCACTTGGTAAGGAAAGTGAAGTACTCGTCGCCAATCTTCTCAATCTCGAACAGGCCGCATCGCGTACCGACGTCGGAGTCCTGGAGGTCGTCCACTCTGTTCACAATGGTGGCGCCGGTGGCTCGGGCTATTCTGTTGTTGTCGGTCTTGCGAACTCGTCGAAGGGCGGTGATGTTGGCCTTCATGAAGTAATGCTGGGCGAGGTCTACGGTGCGTCATGTTAGCAATACAACAACACATCTTGATAGACAAGTCATTGAACGAAAAAAAAAAACACACCTGATACGCCCTTCTCGGTAATGACAAGGTCGGGCTTGACGGCAATGATGGCTTCGCACATGGCCTTGACCTGCTCCTCCTCAATCTGCAGGATTCGGTTCCAGTCCTCCTCCTTGGTAATTTCAATGTTGGTCTGAGACTCTCCCTTCTTGTACTCCAGAGGACAGTCGAGCAGGACGATACGGGGGTTCTCAATGCGTCGGCGCATCTTGGGGTGTGTGATGTCCTTGTTCAGCATCAGGCCGTCCAGGACTCTGCTGTCCTCAATCTCGCCGCCGGGGACCTTTTCGACACGAGCATAGCGCTTGATGTCAACTTCAGTCTTTCCATTGCCAGTCTCCCAAGTAACGGTTCGCACAGCTTTGAGGGCAAGTTCGCACATCTGGTCCATCCATCGAGAGACGAATTTTGTACCAATAGAAGACGAGATGAGCTGGTTCATGGCCTTGTCGTCATCAATATCGATCGGTAGTGAGATTTCGTCAATGATCTTGATTGCATCCTCGAGGGCGCGTTTGAAGGCGGAAATGATGACGACGGGATGGATGTTGCGTTCGAGTTGAGGGAGAGCTTGGGCCAAGATTTCACCGGCTGCAGCAGCGTTAGTGTGGGTTGGGCGTGGAAGCATGGGCTGCGACGGTGATGATGCTGATTCCACTACTTACCTAGAATGATGACGGTCGTGGTCCCATCGCCAACTTCCTCGTCTTGCGTTCGGCTGAGCTCAATCATGCTCTTAGCCGCAGGGTGCGACACCTCGATCTCCCGCAGGATAGCATGTCCGTCATTGGTCAAGACTATGCCGCCCATAGGGTCGAGGAGCATCTTGAGCATGGCCTTGGGGCCGAGACATGATCGAATGATATCGGCAACACTATGAAAAGACGCACAAAATTGTTTAGCGGCCGGTGCTTGGATGTCGAGGCAGGGTGATGGCAGGGTGGCTAGGCAACATACGTCTTCGCAGCGGCAATGTTGGACAGTTGAGCTTTTCTTCCCGTTTGTCTCTCACCGCTGTTGGTGTCTGCAGATATCAAAAGTCAGCATGGCAATGTCGAGATGATGCAGCTTTGGGGACTCGAAAAGCCGGCGCATCACGAGGCACCAGGGGGGAAGGTTTGCCAAGAAAAAAATAGGACAGCCAACTCACTCATAACCAACACTGGAGCTTGCATGATGGGCAACGTTCGCACTCGAGCGATGGGATGAAGATGAAAAGTCGAGAGCTACACCACGACCGAGCAGCTCAAGGAGAAAGCAGAGAGTTGCCGGAGAGGAGCCTGGGTGTGGATGGAAGTAAAAGGCAGAAGCAAATGGCGGATGAGGAGGGGCCAAGCGCCGCAGACAGAAAATGTTCCCACGATACTAGTTGTGCACCAACCAGGCAGGGATATACTTGGCGGGGAGCACGTCCTAGAGCGGGAAGCAGCCTTTGGAAGGAAGGTGGTGGTGGACAAGCCACTGGGCGCGACCAATGGCCGTTGCTGATTGGCTAGTCACCTTGCTGACCCGGCCTCTGTGCAGGTTCGTTCCCAGACCGCGTACGGAGTACCGCACAGCACCGGCTCAGCGCTCCTCGAGCCAGCGGAAGCTACAGTGGCAACCAGACCGCACTAGAGAGAGTGTCAATGTACCAGACCAGTCGACCAGACATGTCAACATTCTCGGCCCCTGCAGACGCCCCGGCGGCCACTTCTCCGCTGGGACGCTCCCATCTCGAGGCAATCACAGCCAAGCAGAGCTCAACAAACCTTCAGACTGTTCTTCCGAGAAAAGGCCATGGACTAGGTCACCAGTTTGAATCCGCATTATGGGCACGGATGGATGCAAATGGAGACGCGAATTGTCATGCCCGTCAGCGACTAAGTGGATGAGCACTTCAAGCACTACTAATATCAATGTCCGCGTGATCAGCTTGACTATTCGGCCCCCCATGTTTTACCCCAACCCAACAGCGATTTCTTTCTTACGGTTCTAGCGTGTTCCTTCCGGAGTTTGAGACGCCGCGACTGTTCCACACCCTTCACTACTCCGTACGTTTCCCGAGATTGGCGGAACACCGATATCCTTTGACACCAGCAGCCTTGGACCCTGGGCTTATTCGCCTTGGCTATGATGGCATGTCTGCTGATTTGGATGAACAACCTGGAACTTCACTCTCGTAGTTACTCCGTAATATCTGGGGTGCACAATCACGCCGTGTAAACTTGCTTAGTACTGCGGCCAACCGGTGTTCGGACATCGGAACCCGAGCATCCGCAGCCTTCAAAGTCACCATCTCGCACCGGTTGCCTGCTCAGCTTACCATGCGCACCAGGTTTTGTCATGCATATGTTGTCTGCGGTGTTTTGCTCGACGTAAGCCTCGAGCTTACTGCACCACTATGCACTAGCCAAATCCGTTCCCTGATTTCTCCTGCTCTCATCGGAGATCCTGATAGCTACCGCAGGACCTTCTCAGCCTGTTGGTAACCCATACGAGATTCCTGTGTCTCAAAATACTCTCCCCTACTCCATTGCTGGACCATTGATTGATCTCAGTAGCAGCCCATTCTCGACATTGCCGTCATCGTGCGCATACCCGCACCTCTGCCTTATCCATAAAGAGTCGAAATCCTCCACCCAAAAACCTGTACCTTCAAAGCTGTCGTAAATTTCCCTTGCCCCGTCAACGGAACAGTAGAACAACAAGCCTTTAGTTCCCAATAAGCCAAGCAATGAATAGATCCGACTCAACCGGAGTTAATGAGTCCTCACCGAGACGCAAATAGATTATACACGGCTCCGCCTTAGGCATCGCCGTAATCAAATCCTCCAGCGGTACACAAAATGAGTGATTTTCGGAAGTTGTAGCCCCATGTGTAGTTCATCTTTTGGTTACTCCTCGTCGTCGAAGCTTGGTCGTCAGATTCCCAACGCCGGAACGAGTGGTGCATCTGTTAGAATCCCCCCTGCTCAGCTGCACCTTTCTTGAGCCCCAAGATTCGGAGCGGTAGTTACCATTCCCTCAATTCAAAGACGTTGTGGCCGATGGCGCAATATTATTCCATCCCTCCCCGGGCTGAGATTTGATTTCCACAATACAAGCCGATCTGGCCATGGCGGCTTGCACCTCCTTCCACATCAAGTTATCTCGTAGGCACTGCTTTTCGAATTCAGGTGTGATGAAACAGCCAGTTCCTTCGTCATCATAAAAATCATACGGTGGGAGCGTTCCCATTGTAAGAAATTCATGCCCGGAGTTGGGGTAAACTACGTCTGCATTCTTTTTCGAGCACTCAAAGCTGGGGATACCACCTTTGCTATATCGTAGCACCAGACGCAAGCTCAGTAGCTCCGAGTCGGACAGCTCGCCAGACGAATCGGTCAGCTCTGGGCGTGAAGTCACCTAGACTTCCCCCAGCTTCTCGACCTGTCGACTAGGTATGGCGAATACTACCCATGATTGCGCTCCGACATGTGGGTTGTCGGGGTCATCGACCACGAAGACTGGCTTCGTGATTTTGATCCAGGTCCAGGATTGGATGACACCTGATATGTGCGGGCTAAAGGATAAGTCAATCATCGTTCTTGGTGGCAAGCTCCACGGAGATTTTGACGTACATGTCAGTTTCAAAGATTCCAATTGAACCCCAATCATCGTCAATTGTCATGATGGTATCCAGCTCATTCCCCAGACAAGCCAGATTATCAACGGGCAAGGGAGACTTGCTTGTCTTGAAGCTGATGACCCGGGCGCTTAGGCGCCTGCACCCGTATTTTGACGACGAATTTTGCAGCCACTGTCGATAACTGACGTGGGAGGTTGGATGCCATAGTTTTTTCGGTGCTCTGACGGACTCCAGCGCAACTTTCGTAGAGCCGCTTCGCCAAAAGGGGTTCTTCAGCTGCAGTGCAGCTTGCAGTCGATTTGAAGATGATTGCCTATCGTTGCCAGTTAGCTGCTTGGCTGTCTCTGTGCTCAACTCTTGAAATCGTACACATGAGGTATCCGCATAGCAAGACGCGCATCGACAACATCATCTAGCCACCCTAACGACTGCTCTGCTTCATCTGTTGACAAGGGGCCGTTGTCCATCTCCTCGCCGTTGGTTCGCTCACAGTCCTCAGTGTCGCCGCCAGTACCAAACACTCTGCCACAAAGCCGTTGTAAACCAGCTACGTGAGTCAGGCTTTCACCTTGATTTGGTTGGCAAGATACATTGGCCGCTCTCTTGATATAGTCAAGATATTGCCGTTCTTTCGTGAACACGTGTTGTAGGCCCAAGGCAAGGATTTCGTGGATACTTCTTGAGCCTCGGAATTGAGCGGCTCGTGTGTGAGTAGCCCTGCGAGCGTGCGACCCGACGGCGTTGATCTTGGAATGACTTTTGCCCGAATCCGTTGTAGTCTCGCATCCGGGTCCTGTAATTACAGGCGTGCTTCGACCAGAGCCTTCGATCTCGGGGCCGTCTACGTTGCATTTTTTGATGCCAGAGGAAATGCTACCAGTGCTCTTTCGGGTGCTCTTTGGGCGTCTAACTGCGTAGCGATTGCGAGCCATGGCGCTTCTTGGCTGAGGAACAAAAAGTTCAAGCAACGTGTGATGCTTGAAGAGCTGTCATCTGCTGTAATGGCGGCGTTGCAAGATGGAATCACACATCCACAAACAGTGCGTGGAGCAGACGTTGGAGAAAAGAAGTCACAAATGAGAGTATTGCATAATTCCAGAGGAGGCTGGCAATGTGTAAGAGCTGGTGCTCATTCTATCTGGTGACGAAAGAGTGAGCTGGCCTGTTGCGAGATGCAAGTCGCCGGACAGTGGCCCACCCACACAGAGGCTCGAGAGAATTGCCTGCATTCCTTGACAGCTGTGAGGTTTTGCATTCACTGCGGTGCTCCGGATATAAGATCAGAGCCAGTGAGTCTTGGGGTTCCAGACAAAAAAAAACCAATATTATCTGCAATATGCTCGTGTACGTATACTTGACCTGTAGCGAGAACTACTTACCTAGGAAGGGACTTCTTCCTTGAGTACGCCACGCAAACTTGTGAAGGCGTCAGAAGTGTCGCCTTGAGCCGTGGTGAGAAATTTATAGCAACCATGCGGAAATACTAAAATCAGAATGCACCTTCAAGCCCATCCCTACACAAGGTGACCCATTTTGGTGCACATGAGTTGATGAGTTTGACGAGTGGAAGATGTGGCCGTGGCTGCGCGTGTGCGTGGGCCCACGGGGTTGACGCATAAAAAAGCTAACATTGAAAGACGCGTCCAGGTCAATCAAGCCCGTCGTCTGCCGCGGGCCGTTCGTTTCGCTGCAACGACATCGCGTGCCGCTTTGTTTGGTGGGGCCACCGCTGCACCTCGACCTCTTCAATACTTTGCGCCAACTCTCCCGGCGGTACAATTCCCGACTATATAACAGTGCAATGCCTCTTTCATGACTTGGCCATCGATAGCCCTCTCCAACTCGGCGCGTTGCCCGCTCATGCTAGCCCCCGAGCCCCCAAGCCCCCAATGCCGCCATGTCCCGTCTCTCCATAGCAACCAAATCCCGCCTCCCATCGTCTCTGCGCGTCGAATCCACCAACACGGCCGTCATCAAGGCCATCAGTCGACTGTCTCGCGAGGCCCTCATCCTCCTCGCCCTCGATTGGCTCGACGGCCCATCCCTAGCGTACACTGCGCCGTATCTATCGCCCCCCAGAGCCGACGATGACGAGACGCCAGAGGACTCGGCGGACCTCTACCCGCCGTGCAAGTCCATCGAGGAGCTGCACGACCTCTACACAGATCTGCAGCAGCAGAGGGGCTCCAGGCGCGATGTTGTCAGTCGCATATTGGAAGGGGACTGGCGCCATGGGCTGACGCTCTACCAACTTGCCATGATCGACTTTGCCTACCTCGACGAGCACCCTACGTCTCAGAAATGGACGGCATACAAGATCCAGCCTTTGAATCTACCAACCAAAGACGCTGATGATGAGATTCTCAAGGCAGACGAGAAGAGTCTCAACCTGCCGAGATTCCATCCGTCGACGTTCCTACAGAGCCTGCAGGAGCAGGTCCTGCCTGACATCAAGGCTCACTATCACTTCTCACGACCGAAAAAGTTTCCTCTACTGCTGCTGCGCATATTTGCCATTGAATCGCCGTATAATACAGATTTGGCTCTTTCAGGCCTCAACGGCAGCGGCAATTCTACCAGCTTTCATTCTTCCCGTACCATATACCTAGCTTTCCCGGACGGCTCGCCAGCATTGTACATAACCAGAGCACAAGCCACCGGGCCAATTAGCCACGGAGAATCAAAAAGCCTACCCAGCCTCATTGCGAACGGTGTTCCGCAGGCGCTTTCACGTCCTCGGGAGCGATACACTCTCAAGCCCACGAGTCTCGTGAGCAGAAATCTGGAGGCGCTCCTGGACAAGAGGGGCCCGGGGCGGAGCAATGCAGCAGGAGGCGGATGGAGCATCTACGCAAACGAAAAGGACAAGAAATCGCCGCTGGACACGCTCCTCCCCACACCGCCACTATCGAGAGAGTCGTCGTCGAACGCGGAGACGGCTCAAAAGCGCTCAAGGCCGCTGTCACAGCATGAGCGCGCGGCGAAGAGAGCCAAAACGGTGGCCGAGGCGCGCTTCGGCAACTCTGGCATCGTGTCTGACGGCAAGGGCATTGAGCGGTTTGAAATTATTATGCAGGATCCGTATCCCGCGATAGACGGTCTGTTTGTACAGGACTCTGAGGACGAGGATGACAGGCGGAATCGGCAAACGGATAGACGGAGGAGCAAGATTGATGCCGCGCTACGGCAGGCCTTGGGTGATGGTGAAGAGGAGGAGGATGAAATCGATCCGACGCGGTGGACACCGATTGTGCGCATCAACTTTCAGGGCCCGCATGTCTTTGCAGGGATACGGCAATTAGTTGAAGCTGGGATCGTGGACGGCGAGCGAATGCCAGGATGGATGACGGGTGAGGATGGCGTGACTACAGGCGTTGTGAAGAATGGTTTGATACGGGGCCACAAAGGTTCAGGATTATGATGCAAGGTCGGAGTTTGAATTGCTTTCTTGGGTATATGGTGTATTTTATATTTCTATCGTTGATACCCCCTCTATGTGAATGCGACTATGGCCAATGCATATATATGTATATATATATGTGTGTGTGTGCCTCACTTGTCTATGTCGTTTCCTCGAGTCCGAATACGTGGATGGTGTTCTTCCAGGCAGCTTCGCAGACCTCTTCAACGCTCACGTCCTTGATGGCGGCAATAATCTGGGCAATGCGCTCAATGGTGCACGGTTCGTTTCTGCCCTTGACCATGGCGCCTTCTTCCCACTTCTCCTTCTTCACAATCTTGAACCGGTCCGGTACCTCGGGCTGCTTCTTCTGATTCTTTTGTTTCTTGGGCTGTTTTGCCTGCGGCTCGGGAGCGGCAGCCTGGGGCGCCGCCGTTCCGTTCTCCACGGGTGCCTGGGCGGCCTTCCTCTCTATGAGGTACTTGTATCCTTCGTGGCTGGGGCGGACTTCGCACCACGGCCCGTCCGTCTCCATCATGAGCCTGTCGAGGCGGACAGCCTTGACGACGCGGCAGTTCTCCTCCGTCTTGAAACTGCACCCGTTGATGCCAATGTATAGTCCCAGGTCCATCAACTCTTCCATCTCCTCCATGGTGCCCGTAAAGCTGTGCACGACGCCACCCTTGTCTAGGCTTTCTAACCTCTCGCCAAATACGCCTTTCAAAATGGCGACAAAGTCACCGTGGGCAGCTCTCGAATGTAGGAACAGGGGTAGTTGCGGCTGCAGCGAGGCCGCGACGCGGAGCTGCGCTTCAAACGAGTGCTTCTGGATTACTCTATTGCAGTAGTTTAGTCGGTCATAGTCGAGGCCGAATTCGCCCATGGCCACGATGTGCGGTTGGCCGGATGACCTTGCTTGGGCCACGACCGTGGTGAGTAGTGAGATGGCATGGGCGGATCTTGCGGCGTCAGGATGGTGCTCTTCTGACATGGGAGCGTAGGGGTCGCCTTCACACGGAGTCGTGTGCTCGCTCTGCTTCTTTTTGAGGTCTGCCGCGCCAAAGATGGCACTGCTGCATGGGTGGATGCCCACTGTTGCGTAGCAGGTCCCGGCTGGTTGCTCGCCGTTAGCATGATATGTCTATGGGAGGGCGCGGACTGAAGAATACGTACGGTATTCTTCTGCCAGGTTTAATGCGTCTTGGGAACTCTTGATGTCCGATCCCGTAACTATGAGCTTGGTACATCCTACTTGTCGAGCTCGGTCGATGACTCCTGTGAGGTCATCGGGGTGTTTTTGGTGGCCATGATGTCTGCCTCTGAAGATGGGGTCGGACAAGTTGATTCCAATCTACTTGGTGAGAGGCGGTCAGGATATGATACATCTAGAGCCACGGGCTGGCAGCTTCGATATGGCGTTGTGGTGACCTACATCAACATATCTGGGCTTGTAGGTGCCGTTCGGCGTCTCCCCCGCCTGAGAAGCCATTGTTGCACGGCGTAATATGCTTTTTGGAAGGGAAGTGTTATTTCGAAGTCGTCTCAAAATCATTGAGAAGGGTGTTTACGCCCCTTGTTTCTTTCCTTGGTTCATTGATTGAGTCACACAAGGAGTCACAGGCAATTTTCTTATGAACACGTGCAACTCTTATTGGAGCTTCAGGACGGCCTGCAGGCGCACAATCTGCCACTTCTCACTGGAACCACCCAATTCGTGCCTGGCAGCTAATCCCATTTTGACCATCGTCGTCAACATGTGCTTTGTCAGGTGATCTCAGTTGAGCTGGGCTGAGAAACGGCTTAAAAATTCATTAATAATGAGGTGCGTCTCACGTGATTCCGCGCCAGATGTTGGACGTATGACGGGTGACAGGGGTGCGCGCTCCTGCACGATGCCCCGCGAAAGTGGATGAGGGCCAGACGTAAGACAGTACATGATTTCAACCTCCGAGCCGAAGAGCCGCAGGTCCGAAACTGCAAGTGGAATTCGAGAAATGCGCCGAAATTAAATCGTCCATTGACTCTTGGGTCCGCCAGGGACATATCCAGGCAAACCAGGCACAACAATCCGCCCTTTAACTTGGCAATATTGTGACGGTGCTTTGTCACCGCCACCGAAGCCCTGATCACTCACGCTGGAGCTGACGACGGTGCGTGGGGCCCGTGTTTAATGGATTCCACGGATGCACTGGCCACTGGCCACTTTAACCTAGCACAGTTGACCAGTGCCGTTTCTTGTTGTCGCGCTAGCAGGTGCGTAACGCGTGCTGTGCAAAACACGCGCCGCACTTAAGAAGGCTTTCAACGTCCACCTGTACGAGCATTTTTCTTTTCTCGCCTCTACACAAACCACTCTTGGACAGTCGACGGCATCATTTGCCCGTTTTAACTCCATCTTCTCTGCTCCTGTGGACGGTGGCAGCTGCTGGTGCCCTGGTAGACGCTTGCAATAATCGAGGAGACGTTCGCCTCGAATTTGAATTTATTATACCCCTTGGATCCTCATTGCCGCTCAACCCTCACGAGGCCACGTCGTCACCATGTTCGTCAGAAAGCGCGGTACGTATATCATGTTCCCAATTCCACGACTTCGCAGCGAGCCTCTTTTGCTAACGTCCCTGCAGATGGTCGCCAAGAGCGCGTCCAATTCGACAAGATTACTGCCCGCGTCTCAAGGCTGTGTTACGGCCTGGACACGGAACACGTTGATCCTGTTGCCATCACCCAGAAGGTCATCTCTGGTGTCTACGGCGGTGTAACCACAGTTCAGCTTGATGATCTTGTAAGACCACTTCCCGTCAATTTACCATCGCGGTACACGTCAAAAATTCTAACGCTTATTACCAGGCTGCTGAGACCGCGGCTTACATGACCGTCACCCACCCCGACTACGCCATCCTCGCCGCCCGTATCGCCGTCTCCAATTTGCACAAGCAGACCAAGAAGCAATGGTCTTCTGTTGTCAGCGATCTGTACCACTACGTCAATCCCAAGAATGAGCGTGCCTCGCCCATGATTTCCAAGGACACGTACGAGTGCGTCATGAGACACAAGGACGAGCTCGACTCGGCCATTGTCTACGACAGGGACTTCAACTACCAGTATTTTGGCTTCAAGACCCTGGAGCGATCATATCTTCTGAAGCTCAACGGTAAGATCGTTGAACGACCTCAACATATGATTATGCGTGTTGCTGTCGGTATCTGGGGAGACAACATTGAGCGCGTCATTGAAACCTACAACCTCATGTCAAGCAAATTCTTCACCCATGCCTCACCTACACTCTTCAATGCTGGTACTCCTCAAGCCCAGCTTTCTTCGTGCTTCCTTGTGGACATGAAGGATGACAGTATCGACGGCATCTACGACACTCTCAAGACTTGTGCCATGATTTCCAAGATGGCCGGTGGCATCGGTCTCAATGTCCACCGCATTCGTGCCACTGGCTCTTACATTGCTGGTACCAACGGCACCTCCAACGGCATCATTCCCATGCTCCGTGTGTTCAACAACACTGCCAGATATGTTGACCAGGGTGGCAACAAGCGTCCCGGTGCCTTTGCAATCTACCTGGAGCCTTGGCACGCTGATGTTTTCGAGTTCCTCGATCTCAGAAAAAACCACGGCAAGGAGGAAGTCCGTGCTCGTGATCTTTTCCTTGCCCTCTGGATTCCCGACCTCTTCATGAAGCGTGTCGAGAAGAACGGCGACTGGACTCTGATGTGTCCCAACGAATGCCCTGGCCTTGCCGACTGCTATGGTGAGGAGTTCGAGGCTCTGTACGAAAAGTACGAGCGAGAGGGCAAGGGCCGTAGGACCATTCGGGCTCAGAAGCTCTGGTACTCCATCCTTGAGGCTCAGACCGAGACTGGTAATCCCTTCATGCTCTACAAGGATGCCTGCAACAAGAAGAGCAACCAGAAGAACCTCGGTACCATCCGCAGCTCTAACCTTTGCACTGAGATTGTTGAATACTCTGCCCCTGACGAGGTGGCTGTCTGCAACCTTGCCTCTCTAGCTCTGCCTGCTTTTGTCGACTACGACGAGGGCCGCTACGACTTCAAGAAGCTCCACGAAGTCACTCAGGTTGTCGTTCGTAACCTCAACAAGATCATTGATGTCAACCACTATCCGGTCCAGGAGGCCCGCAACAGCAACATGCGACACCGACCTATCGGTGTTGGTGTTCAGGGTCTTGCCGATGCTTTCCTTGCTTTGCGAATGCCTTTTGAGTCTCCCGAGGCTCGCGAGCTGAACAAGCAAATCTTCGAGACCATCTACCACGCTGCCTTGACCGCCTCCATGGAGCTGGCCAAGGAGCAGGGCCCTTACTCTACCTTCAAGGGATCTCCCGCCTCAGAGGGTATCCTTCAGTTCGACATGTGGAATGTCACGCCTTCTGACCTGTGGGAATGGGACACTCTCAAGCAGCAGATTAAAGAGCACGGTATCCGCAACTCCTTGCTCCTTGCTCCCATGCCCACTGCTAGCACATCGCAGATCCTCGGCAACAATGAGTGCTTCGAGCCCTACACCTCCAACATTTACCAGCGACGTGTCCTGGCTGGCGAGTTCCAGGTTGTCAACCCTTGGCTGTTGAAGGATCTCGTCGATATGGGTCTTTGGTCTGATGCTATGAAGAACCGCATTATTGCTGAGAACGGTTCCATTCAGAACATCCCTAACATCCCCGCCGATATCAAGGCTCTCTACAAGACTGTCTGGGAGATTTCTCAGCGACAGGTTGTCCAGATGGCCGCCGACCGTGGTGCCTTCATTGACCAGTCCCAGTCTCTCAATATCCACATGAAGGACCCTTCAATGGGCAAGATCACCAGCATGCACTTTGCCGGGTGGAAACTGGGTCTCAAGACTGGCATGTACTACCTGCGCACGCAGGCTGCTGCCGCTCCTATCCAGTTCACTGTTGACCAGGAGGCTCTGAAGGTTGCTGATGCCAATGTTGGCAAGGACAGACTTCCCAAGAAGCGAACCGCACCTGCTGGCACCAGCTACATGACCTCTGTATCTGCTGTGCCCCGAGCCGCTCACCTCAGAAAGGAAGACGGCATCAATGCTGTCAATGCTAACGGCATTCCTACTCCTAGCAACACTCCACCACCTGCTGGTGCTTCCCGCCCCATTGCTTCTCCGAGCAAGCCAGCTGCCATCAAGGCTGACGTTGATGAGGGCGACAGCCCCAAGGTCCTGCCCACTGAGCCCTCAGAAGCTATCAAGGATGAGGAGCTTGCCGAGCCCGGGACCAAGCGTTCTGGCCAGTCTGAAGATGGCGACGATAGCGGGGAGCGTGAGCGGGATATCTACTCGGAGGCCGTCCTTGCCTGTAAGTATCTACTCGCCTTGCGCAGTCTAGGCACAAACCTATTTACTAACTGATGTGACATAGGCAGCATTGAGAACCCCGAAGCCTGCGTCATGTGCAGTGGTTAACCTGTAATAAAAGGAGACATGGAATCCCTCAGGGGATAAGTGTAACGATTTGCTGACGAGTTGGGTACGACGGCACGGATAAGTTGATATGGGGTAATGTTTCGATTTGGTTATTTTTTTCTCTTTTTTAAAAAGGGCATTCAGCGAATCAGTATATCGAGCGCAGGCGTGGCTCTTTACAGTTTCTGTGGAAAGTTTCGCGTATAAACGAAACCTGGGGTTTATTGTCAAGGCCTGCATTTCCTTACTTTGTCCTATTCTTGGCATTTTTGTTTTATAGAGAGACGGCCTAATGGGTGTCTTGAGTTATCGCAGTGTTGCATACGCGTAGCAAGGATTAATTTCACGAAAGGTATCATGCAAGCACCACATGTTTTGTTTGCCAAGTACGAGCATGAGTTGTAAGAGGAGCCCTGTTTCCCGGGTACAAGCAAGGCATGTAGGAAGCCGATCGCTTTGCACGGCCCGTGTTGCTGGCAGGGTATTGCATTGCACCAAGACAAATAAGAAACAAAGTCGCAGGACCAGACTGGATGTCGTGCATGCGTAGATGAACGACAAGATGAGACATGGAGAAGCGGAGTAACAACAAATAAGATACCGGCTCATGAAGACGGGAACTGTATAACTCTTTCGTACAAGGTGAATCGGTGATCGGGTTGATTAAGATGAGCCCCTCGCTTGCTAGGTTGCACTTGGCACAGTCGTGTTCGCCGTCTCGACGGGATGATGCGTACTCTGTAGTCGGGAGCCGTCTCTTGTTGCATGATTTGGGGCCGTAGGCCATGCATGCCCAATTGACGACATTGCTCCATCGAGCGGGTTGCCGCGGCGCGTGCCGAGGCATTATCGAAAAGCTATGTACAGTACTGTATGTACATGCAAGGCTGGAAGTACGGTGAGAGAAATCGCTGACGGAGATATTACGCACCTGGTGGGTACGAAAGGCGTGGCTGTTCGGGTGTCGCGATTTCGATTGAGTGCGATTGAAAGCAAAAGTCGAGGGAAGGGGCTTTACGTCACCCGGCAACAAACAAACAGGACATGTCCGACATGGATCCGTGCCGGGGCCCCCGTGAGACAAGGTCGAAAGGCGGTGCGGTTGCATGCGGGTGGCAGAGGAGATTGCCGATATGACGTCCATGATTTTGTGGCCTCGTCCAACCAGACCTCTTGATGGGGGCAAGTTTGCAACTGTTAGGCGGCTGGTGATACCACCGATGTCGATTGCTGCGCCTGGCCTTTGCAACCAGATGTTGCTAGGCATAGCATTGGCGATACATGCACTCCCTGTGGGTGCTGTTCTTTGGTCGCAAGACAAGTTGGTTATTTTTTGATATACACTCCCAGGGCCAGCTTGTTTTTTCTGTTGTTGTCTGTTTTAGTGCGATTGGTTATGCAAAACGTGCGTGGCTGGGCCGTCCTGCATGTCCAGCCCACTCAGAATGCATTGGATATTGGATCATGAGATTTGGCTGCGGAGTGCGCAGTGGGCATTGAGGCAGGTTGAGAGCAGTGGTACTTGACACCTTACATATGCCTGTATGAAAATATTATTGATGTTATGCGGTACTCGGGTTGTCGGGGTTGGTTGGTTGTAGATGGATGGTGGCTCGCATAGCACAATCATCCGTGTAATAGTGATGGAGTAACGGGGTACGCACCAGGACTCGCAAGGCCTGTTTCTTGATTTTATAGGCCTTCTATTGCCGGCCATGCGTGTGTGCCCAATGAATTTGTTTATACCAAGTTCAAGAACAATTCAACGCGTGATTGAAAATGACGGACCTGCCACCCGTGGCCGTGGCCGTGGCCGTGGCTAGAGGAGCAACCGTTACGGGACACCCAATGAGTCGTCAAACCAAGTGTAGTAAATAGCATGCGTAGCGGTGGTGCATTTCGGTAGCTACAAGACAGCACAGAACACACATGACGGAGCCTGTCGTCCAGATTGACCTGCAAGGTACGCCAGGGCCCGAGCTGCCCAAAGAAATAAACTCAGGGTGCCGTTGGAACAAGATGGCCCGGGTCCGGGGCCGAAGGCGCGCCACAAGACTTGGATGCAAAATCTTCAACATTGTTCCGTCGACGGCGCGCTGTCCAATGACTCCCCGTATGCTCAACCCGTGTCAGTACGCACGAGCACTCTTCTTGCAACTCTTCATAAAGGGCGCTTGGAATCCGGAGGCATAGTCCGGCTTGCGCACCTGTTTTACCGATGCCATTTGTCGACCTAAATGTCCCTGTCATTTCGTCACGCTCCACGCGATTGTATCCGGTTGGAGGCAACTTTCAACATTCATCTCCTTTTGGCGGCCTCTGGGCCAGGCTACCTTCCCATCTGCGCTGAAAAGGCATCCCGCGGGCGAATTTGCCTGCGATGCTGCATATTATATCCCAGCAGACGGTCATCGGAGCGCCGAAATGTGGAGGTGCTGAATGTCTGGCCAGTGACTCGGACTCGGCCAGGGGACCCAAATGATGCCAACCATGGCCAAGACGTGGTTGGTGGGTTGAGTGGGTGGCTAGTGAAGTCCAGCTGGACAGGGCTCAGACCGTGGACCGCCGTTTCTCGATATCCGCCACAGGCTTCTTGGGTTCAACAACCTGGGCCTCTCTGGACGAGGAGTGCCATAGACAACAGCCCGATGTTTCGTGAGACCAAAATCTAAGGTTCCGCGGTTGATGCCATCCATTCAGCATGGCCTTGTATGTACATACGTGGGTTCAGTCCCTATGAATACCCATAGTCCGTCCCTTGTTCTTGGTCCTTCATTAGAGGAGAATTAAACCAAGCAGCCCCTGCGATAGGGCTCGAACTTTATTCGGCGCCCCATTGACCAATCGAAACCGCACGGCTAGAAGGTACATGTAGTTTTCCTCCCGAGGCCAGCTCGGTTCAGGGAGGGTGCGACATCTTGGTCAACCCCTGTCCATGACTATTGGCGCTTGGATGGTGGTACCGATCGGCTTCAAACCGCGCCTTGCGGGGGCTAATTTCGTCACTCTTCGCTCTAGACGGACTAAGATATCACCCCAACACTAGGGTGTGGTAGGAAAATTATTCAGTCTGTGTTGCTCGCCGAAAGAAAACTATGCTTCCATTCGAACTGAGGGCCATGGCATTGTAACAGACGAGACTCGTGCTAGTATGTAGTGAGCACGACTTTGTTCCTTTATCTTGTCATAGATCTGAACAAAACCAGATCTTCGTAGTGGAGAGTGGCCGGGGTAAGCTGATATCACTCTTGTCCAATGGAATCAATTGACGCCACCTCAGGCGAGGCAACGAATGACAACGGCCTAATCACAGACATTATCTCTAAAGTAGGAGTCTTAGATGTGTTCACGAAGCATCTAAGAAGGCTTACTTTGGCTGTCTAAACACCGCGAAATAGCTGTCTGGCCTATTGGCTCTTCGTTCCAGTTGCGAGTTACGGGGCATGGTTGCGAGCGTGATGAGTTCATCGTACCATCAGACACTCCTTTATAGCCGACGAGAAAGTTGTCTTTCTTGACTGACATTTATACTCGGAAGTAGAAAAGTGTTTAACGAGTAGGCGTCAGTGCCTGCGAGTTGCTCATTTCTTGAAACTCATCAGGCTTTCGGCCATCTCCACAGAGGTTATGCTCTTTCGAGTTTGGCTATTATTGCCAGAGTTCCAGGTCGGGAGCGGATCCCTAGGCAGTTGTTTATAAATTATAAGTGGCTTGAGGCGAGGGATGCGGCTGTGTCTCTGGTTAGTTGAAGCGGGAGTAGTTTACTTTTGAGGGTTTCATTGAATCCGCCTTTTCTGATTTTTTTTTTTCTTTTCTTCTTGTGACAGGTTATCCGCGGTAGTCGAGTCTGTCTGCCAAGACCCGTTCCTCGATGGGCAAATACGCGACGTGGTTATAGTCCTAATGATGATGGCCACACAGCCAGCCTCTCTGGGGATGCCGTTTGCGTGTGGCGATTGTGGCGCGGCATCGAACTTCCACGAGCATCCATTGACCTGGTCCATCCCAAAGAAGCAGCCCAAGGTAGCATGGGTGAGGGGTAGACGCCGCAATGGTCCACTCATATTTCCATTCCAGTCAGGGCCTCTCATAATCGATCGAAGCTTGGCATCATTGTCCATGACTGCCCGCCTAATTTCCAATGCGGAACCTCTTTGTCAGTGTATGGCGCATGGCGCCAGCACCTCAATGCTTCCTGTTCTCTTCCCTGCGTTTGGTGTGTCTTGCTGCCCTGGCAGTCTGCGTCAAATAAAATTGCACGCTGTTAGTGCTCAGACGGCGTTTGTTAGTGCATGCGACAATGCTCCAACCTGCTCTCACAACCTACGCATTGATGTTTAAAATTGAGATACAGATGTGGAAGCTGATTTGAGCCGTGGTAGCCTCTTATGCGTTTAGGAAAGTTCCAGGCAAGATTCGGCAACAACGAGTCGGAGAGGCCGTACGGAGGATTGTGTATTTCTCAAGTCGAATGGGATTTTCGTCGACGGAGCATCCAAACAAGCAAGCAAGAACCATCACAAGCCACGAGATGGTCCTGTCCACGCTTCTCAATGGAGAACCTTGCGGGAGGTACACATCGCTGTGTTCCTTACTGTGTTCCTTGGCGCAAGTCCAGGGCATCGTCCGTTTGTTTCATCTACCAGACTACTCGGCATATTGTAAAAGGAATGTTCGACAGGTGTGCGACTGATAACTCCATCCCGTAAACAATCCCCCCTCCCGGCTCAACAAGTCGGCCATTCGATGATTTGCCATGGGAGGCCTGATTTCCGAAGTTCATTTCCAAGCTATCACAACGCCTGTCCGTTCGCCACATGACGACAGAGGAGGCGCTGCGGCGAGATGGTAACCAAGCAATGAGTTGAAAGAGCGGCTCCCCCGTGTTCCCAAACGACTCCGCTAGCCGGGACGCGGGCGTCACTGATTCCCAAGCTTGGGAGATGTACGTAACAGTACATACGTTGCTGGTGTGCCGTTACCTCATTGGTAACGTTGGTGGATGGACCACCTTTTTACGACCCTTGGAGAGCGTGCCACCAGACCACCAAAACCACACCTGGAGGCGAGGTTGCGGGTGCTGCGACTTGAGCGTTGATGGTATGTACATCACTCGTGAGAGACAGCCGTAACTCTGGTGATTGACTGGCAACTCAATTGCGATATTCCCTTGATTTCCGTTAACGGCCGTCAGAGTTCAACATGATGTATTGGCCCTGTGTGTTGTCAATACCCGTCTGGCTTGCTATCTTGCCCTTCCTTGCCTACCGATGGTTAATCATGCTGGCCAGCAGCAAGCCTCAACAGCCACATCTCACCGAAAAGACAGATGGAGCAGACCAGGGCGTTCATTAGGATCTCTAGATACGGCATGGCCAACTGGCCAACTGGGGTGCCTGGGGGTGCGTGTGAAGGTGAGTGATTGAGGGTGAGGGTGCAGCGGGTGGCTGGTGGCTGGTGGGCCTCACGAACTTTGCTGGAAAGGTCAACTACTAGCTGAGACGGGGCCCCGAGGTGGATCCAGATATGCCCCAGTGCGCCTGAGCCCAGCGAGCCCATGATAGCCCAGGATCGGTACCTGGTCCGTCGGTACCCTTGCCTTGGCAAACCCAGCTCTGCTGGTCCTATTCCGGAGCACTCCGTATCCTCTGGTCACTCTAATGTTTACCTGGGTATGATGTGGCCGTCTCATGGCCGAGAAGCGCCATGGGTAGGCACCAAAAAGTTGAGCAGAACCTGAGCAGCATCTGAGGTGCCGGGCAGGTGGCACACGGCTGCCGGCCACCTGTTCCTGCCTTGGCAGTCTGGCTGGCCCACTGGTGCTTGCTTTGCACGGCTCGGGCTAGGAAGCGAATATCAACAGCACTCGGGCGCCCTCGTCCACATCATAAATCTGCTTCTGCCCTCCTCGATTTTTCCCTTCTCCCTTACTCCTCTCTACCCACGCTCTGTTCCTCAATCTCAAGCACTGCCCTGCCATCAAGACTCATCTCACTCACAAGTCTACTATCAACGTGTAAGTCTGCATTCTTCCTTCTTGGTTCCCTTTGGCTTTCATCTGTCACGTTGCCGTCACACTGCCTGCTCCCTCGCCTGCTCTTCTCCCACATGGAGTATCCCAGGTCAATTCGTAAGGGAGGGGGAACGAAGGAGTCTTTTGGAACGACGCCCGTCCGGAGCACCTTGGCTACGGCTCATCGAGATCATCTGGTCTGGAATGCAGACTCTACACTGTCAATTTAATCGTCTCTGGAGCCTCTTCTGCTGTCTCGAGCTGCCTGCTACGCCTCGGTGATGAATCTTTGCAGCGACAATTGGCCCTATATACCCCAACATTACGACTCCTCGATTCATCATTCCATTGCCACCCAGCTATACACGACAAGCCACGCCTTACACATGGCAGAATGCGCGTGCTGGTTTTCACCTGCACAGACTTATCATATTGTACAAGTGCTCTGCTCATATGAATTATGGCTAACCAAGTTCCGAGATTCTAGTCTGAAACAACTACTGAACACCGTCAAGATGAAGTCGGCTGCCTTCGCTTTCACCTTGGTTGCGGCTGTTGCTGCTCAGGACCTTGCCGCCCTCGCTCAGTGCGGTGTAAGTGCTTCACCATCCCGAACCTTCAGGGGTTGTCTTGATTGCTAACCTGATGGTGACAGCAAACCTGTGCCGGTAACATGATTGCTGCAGGAAAGGCCCAGGAGCTTGGCTGCAAGGAGGGCGACGTCAAGTGCCTCTGCAGCAACCCCAACTTCGCCTACGGTCTCCGTGACTGCTCTCGCGCCATCTGCAGCCAACAAGATGTCGAAAAAGTCGTCGAGTACGGTGTGAAGTACTGCGAGGGTGCCGGTGTCGTGATTACTGGGGGATCTGGCGGTCCTAGCCAGACTGGCAGCAACGGTGAAGCCACTCAAACTGGTTCTAACGGTGCTGGCGCCTCTCACACTGGTTCCAACAGTGGTGAGGCCTCTCATAGTGCTACTGGCGGTGGTGAGGCCACTCAATCCGGCGAGAGTGGCAGTGGTGCCCAAGTCACTACCCTCTACAGCACTGAAACCGGCACTGATGGCAAGGTCATCACTACCCCAGTTGCCACTTCCACCATTGAGGGCGGCAACAGCGGAAACGGTGACGCTAGCGGCTCTGTCCTCACTTACACTACCAACGGTTCTCAGGTTGTCACTACTCTCGCCACCGCGGTGAGCAGCCCTACTGGCACTGAGAGCTCTGGTGCCACCGAAACTGGCTCCGGCTCTGAGTCCTCAACTGGCGGTTCCGGCTCCGAGTCTTCGACTGGTGGCTCTGGCTCTGAGTCCACTTCGGAAGGCAATGGCGGTGCTTCCCAAACCTCTGAGGGCGGCGCTGGCTCCCAGACCACCAGCAACGGTGGTGCTGCTACCTCCACCAGCAAGGGTCTTGCTGTAAGTCATACGCACCTTCCCTGATAGTAATTATTTTACTGACTGATGTTCACAGGCCCAGATCACTGCTGCTCCTGGCATCCTCGCCGCTGCTGGCCTTGCCGCTCTCCTCATCTAAGATGAGAAACTCTTTGGTTCAATCAACCTTCTTTTGATGTTTTACGTTGCACATTTTTGATACATAATACCCGTTCATACTTGATACTCAGGCACCACGTCTCAATCTTCATCGGCACAGGTACAAGGTACACGTTCCCGAGTTGATCTTAAATCACAAAGTTTGCCAAGTGGACTGGAGATGAGTTATCTTGGGGTTGTTGGCCGAGGGTTAATGAGGCATATGGTTTATGTGTTCCGTCTTGTAGTGCCGACGATGGAGTGAGCAGGTTAGGCATGAAATCTGATTTGCAACGTGTTTTTTATAGATGGAAAGAAAATTCGGTATAAAACAGGTCCGAGGACGATTACGGGTTACTCATGTAGGCCCAGAACTACGGCCCGCCTGTGGCGGTTTTCATGATACCCCCCGGCAATCTGGTCTGGTTCTTAAGGGGCTGGCTTTCTTGCTCTCATTCAAATATCACATTAATGAATAATTTTTTGGGGTCCGAATTTTTGACTTGGGTCTTTGAAAATGGTGACTCGTTTTGACTGTGATTGAGAATCAAAGATTTGGTTGGGTGACTTGATGTTACGGTAGCAAATTGGTTCATGGTGTCAAGATTGGATGGAGCATTTGTAAATGTTCAGTATCGATATGTCAAATGACTACATGATCTCTCCTAGTGTACAGAACTCGTAATAAATACATGTGCATCAAAGAGATGTTAAATTCACAAACGCCAACCGGGCATGTCTGTCATTTTCTCATATTCAGGCTCAGATCCGACTTCATCCCATCATGGGCTTGCCAATTTCGCTCTTCCAGTCCTTTGCCCTCTCGAAGCCATTGGAGAAAGTTTGGTAATCGTACAAGGCCTGGTACACGCCCTCTTTTGAGTTGAGGACGAATGGGCCATATTGCACAACTTCCTGATCAAGAGGCGTGCCAGCAATGATGACTATTTCGCATGTTAGCAAACATGTTCTACTCTTCTGGGAAAGGACGCGAGATGCACGCTATAGGGTAGCTGTAGGGAGTAACGTACCAAGACGAGTGTCCTTTGTCGCGTCGGCATCAGTCTCGACGTGAACGACGTCGCCATCCTGCTCAAAGACGACGTTGTGGAACTGTTGAATCTCTGTGCGGTCCTGTCCCTGTCCATACCAGGCGCTCCCCTCGAGGACGTAGGAGAAGGCGTTCCAGCCCTTTGGCAGGGGCTGGGTGACGCTGGCGCCGGGCCGCAGGATGATGTCGAGGATCCACACGGGGGTGTAGGCGAGGTCCTTGACCGAGTCGATGCCGTGACTCTGGCCGGAGATGACCTTGATGGTGGCCCTGCCGGCGTCGACGTCGACGGTGGGGATCTCGGCGGCGCGGAGGTCCCGGTATCGCGGCTCGCAGGCCTTGAGGCTCTCGGGGAGATCGACCCACAGCTGCAGGCCGACGTTGGGCTTGCCGTCGTCGGTCTTGCGGGGCATCTCTGCGTGCACGATGCCCCGGCCGGCCGTCATGAACTGCAGGTCGCCCGGGTACAGGGTGCCCTTGTTGCCGGCGAAGTCCTCGTGGTCCGTGGCGCCCTCGAGCAGGTACGTGATGGTCTCCTGGCCGCGGTGCGGGTGGTCGGGGAACCCTGCGCCGGGCGAGACGGAGAAGTGGTCGAGCATGAGGAAGGGCGAGAAGTTGCGCAGCTGCGGCGTGCCGATGGAGCGGCGGACGCGCGCGCCTGCGCCCTCGGACTGCTCGACGGCCAGGAAGGCCTTGCGGATGGCGCGGGGGACCGACATTGCTGACGCTTCGAGGTGTTTGCTTGGCGGGGTGTAGAGCGGGATGGCGGCGGGTTTGCTGGAGCTGGGTGAAGTAGTAGTGGTAGTGGTAGTAGTAGTTATTGCTGCTGTTTTTGTTGTTGGTGCAGTAATGTTGGTGTATTTGGAGACGATGGCTGCTACAATGCCAATTGTGACTGCTGTGATGAGTGTGCTTCGGAAATGCTTCATGGGTTTGGGGTCGGGAGCGGCGACGGTAATTTATAGACGTTTTCCGTTGCGCGGGGGTGTGTGTGGCTGCTTGTAGTGCAATCTAGAAGATGACGGAAGTGAGATGTGGTATTTTGAGTTTTTTATCATTTGATTCGAAACCAAGGGGATTGGTGATGCATGAGAAATGCGGCTGTTTTTAAGCCATCCAACAATCCCTTGTTCTCCCCTCGTCCTGCTGGCGCGGGAGCTTGGGGAAGCTCTGTCATGCTTACCATACTACCGAGTATTACTGCCGTTTGTAGCTCGATTGGCTGCGAAGGGGTGCCAATTGGGTGACGTGATTGGCTGATGGGAATGTCAGGGAATTACCCCCACCTTAGTCACTTTTACATCAGCAGTGCCTTGAGCGTAGAAGCACAGGTGCGGACAAACACCACAGTCAGCAATTGCTCAGGCCAATTCGTGGTGATTCCAGAACCCATGCCAGCCAAGGCATCCGCTGCAGGATAGAGATCCTGTACGCATTCGTCTGCTGAACTAGACATGTGGACTTGCTTGACAGTGCTGTTCTAGCCACACCAGCCCCTTGGGCCTTCGGAGTGACGACCAAAGTACGGAACACCACAGACGACTTCCAACTGCCGCATCACATGCCAACAAAGCAAGCTGAAGGGCGAAACCAAAGCCCATGGAACAAACGAAATGCGAAATACCCGGGTCGGAGACCAGGTGCCACTGCTGGGGGTGCAGGCCCAAAAAAAAAAAAAGAAAAGAAAAAAAAAAAAAGACCCTTGAATTGCGCCAAGAAAAGGATGTGGGTTCCTTTCACATGTGAATTCAAGCAGTGGCGTACATATGCACTTTTTCTTTTGTTTTCCCGCTCCTAGTCACCGGCCACGAGGACAACACTGTCAGACATTCATATGCAACAATTACAAGGTCAATGGAGCCATGGATAAGGACAGGGAACAATTTGTTAACTCGTCTATTAAGTATTTTTCATTGGTATTCTTTTGCTCCTTTTTCCGATCATCGTCAGAGGCCGTTCCAAAATGGGTTGCGATCCCTATGCCAAGTATCCATCCATTTCTATGCTTTTTTGGTTTCATCTTTCTCGCAAGGAGAGACAAATGGCTTTGTTACCAGCCCAGAAAAACAACACAGGGTCGAATAAAACAAGACTTTGCGTGCACTCTAAGACTTCTGAAGCCAATGACCGGACCCTTGGCATTGGCATAGACTCTCATGTATATCGTCACGCAACCTGAGTTGAGCTGAGAACGCAAAGATTTCGAGCAGGAAACAAATGAGAGAGATGATTTGATACAAAAATGCAGATAACTATGCCCAAGAATTCCGAGGTATAATGAGCTCGCCGCCAAATTGTGCATGACTGTCAAGTCCCGCCATCCTCCACTTGTATGAATGATATTTGGGATCGTGGAAGCCAGCAACCTTCAAAAACGCCAACATAAAGCCAAGAACAAATTTTAAGCCATCAAAACTAAGAAAGAGGGTGAAAAAGGCCATCTCATGACGCGACGGCCGAGGTAGGTCAGCCAAGTGCTGGAAGGATGTAGACCGCCTTGTGTACTTTGGAAATCTACTGCTTGACCTTCTCCTTGACGACAGTTGTGGCCTCAGCCTTCTTGGCGGCCAGGAAGCTGCTTAACCAGCCCAGGGTCTCGTTGCTGACGACAAAGGCGGTAGAGACAGCGGCCTTGCCTTGGCCAACAAGGCCCTTTTGCTCAATCTTCTTGGCCTCGCTGGCATAGACGTCAAAGATGTGGTCACGGCCCTCGATACTCTTGTTGTAAGGGAACAAAATCAGGCTGCGAGTGTCGTTGTACAGATCGCTGGTGGGCTTCTTGACGATGGGGAAGCGCTCGTCGATGCGGTCGAGGGTCTTGTCACCGAGAGAGTCGGCCCGAGCGACGTAGGGAGAGACGTACTCGTACGGCTTGGCGAGCCAGGGGAGGACGGGAGCAGCAAAAGTCTGGTAGGCAGAATCGCCGAGCTTGATGGAGCGCTGAGCGTACTCGTTGGCCCTGACAGTGTGGATGCTATCGCTGATCAAAGGGTAGGCGAGGAGGTGCTGTAAAAGTGTATCTGTTAGCTGAAGCTTTGATCCTATACTGTGAAGCTGCAACATACCTGGAGGAAAGCAGAGTTGGGACGGGGCGAAACATCGCCATTGACCTGAGGGACAGCCATTGAGAATGTGGTGGGCGTTGTGTTTTGTGTGTGTGTGGGAGAGAGGGAGAGCGGGACGTGGACGTGAGTGAGGCGAGTAAACAAGACTCGTTTGACAAAGGGCCCTTTGTTGGGTAAATAACTCAAGATCGAGCGTTTTTCAAGGTGGTGGTGAAAGAAGGGAGGGTTCAGTTGTTCTTGTAGACGGGAGAAGTCAATGATTAAAAAGGATGGATGCAGGTCAGAAACGCCACTTGCAAAACTGGCGTGGGCCAGACACTTATCAAAGACAACTTGTTTCCACTCTCAGAGGCAAAAGCGGCCTGTTGGAGGGAGAATTCGCGGGCACGACAAACCTGGCAGCCCATTGGCGTTGGCTTTGGCGTTCCTTTGGCGTTGGGCTGAGGGTTGTGCGGCGAACATGTGAAAGTGGCCCAGACAAGCTCGAGACATGGGGCAGGCGGCAGACGAGGCAGGAGCAGGGGATGGCAGCAATTGTGGGCTCAGATGTCCAGATGCCCAGATGTCGTCTCCTCTTCTTCCATGTTTCGTCAAGACATGGAAGACCTTGGCCTTTCGCAAGCGGCGCGATGCGCTGCCAAACGCCGCCGCCACACATGATCCACTTGAGTATCTTGCCACCTCAACAATCCCCTTGGCTAACCAACGGGCAACAGGTACATAGTGCAGAGTACGGAGCACTAGCAGCTAGCAGACAAAGAGGCATCGAGTACTCCGTAGAGCTTCAGATATGGACCGTGTGCCAATTGTACCGCCGGATGGGCTACGCGTTGGTTGCCGCTTGCTATCGTCGCCCGCTTGCAATGCAGTCTGCCCTTAGATTTC